TTTTTCGTGTGATAGTAAAACGCAAACCTTGTGTTTATAAACATTTCTACACAACTTAGTGTTATTTCTGCTGATACGGTTGCAACATTTTTGCGCACTTTTTTTTATCGCTTTCTCGAATTAGCAATTCTCGAAAGGAAAGGCTTTTCGTGTGGCTTATCTTTGCATTGTTTTCTAAAAATACTTTCCCCTTTCCGTAACCTTTTTCGAATATTTCTGAATAAAACCTTATAAAAAAATGTTTTAATAAACTAATGGACATAGATGACTTGACAATAACTTGAATATTTTATTGGCCAGCAAGGAAAGACCGTTTTGAAGAGTTTATAAAGAAACTAGAATCAAACAAAATAACGCAGTAGTATTTTTGTGTTATATTAGTTGCACACAATTTCAACTGAGTTTAGTCCGGGTGTTATTTATATCCACAGACATTAATTTATTTCAGCGGTAAAACGAGCAGACGAGCAGTTTGTTAATACCCTTTAACGCGGAAACGATTCACAATGGTAAATACCATTATGGTTGTACATGCATGTCACTGAAAGGTTTCCATGAAAAAAAAATCTAAATTTTCCTAAAGATTCGGTGTATTTTTCACAAAGAATCGTACCGATTTGGTAATTTTTAGCCCACAATCAGACTATACAATACGAGATAAATTTAGTAGATAGGAAAAACAATTCCAAAAGTCGAATAAAAGTTTGCTGTAATAACTGTTTATTTGAAGGAAGGTAATAGAAATATAATGCATGAGAAAACTCATTCCAATCCTCACACTCAATGACGCACTCTCTCTGTCTCTCTCTCTCTCTCTCTCTCTCTCGCTCTCTCTCTCTCTATCTATCTATCTATCTATCTCTATCTCTCTCTCTTCTTGTGTTGTGTCAGGAACCATTTGTTTTATTATTTTTTTGGATGTTTATCGATCTGCAGCAAGTCAAGTTTGAGTGATAAGAATTTTTTTAGAGGTCATATGAAGTTGTTTTATTATATTAAAATATAGGTTTAAATATCAATGCAGATTACAGCTTCTTAGCAAAATTAATTTACAATATACAATTGAATTGTATATATAGTAATGGTGTGAAGTTGATTCATGCATTCGTTGAGTCTATGTCCACCCTTCTATCTTCGTCGCCATATTTCGGTTATAAAGATTCGCTGGTTATCAATAAGAGAGTCGTCGGGTTGAAAGGTGCAACGTTATGATGAAAGAAAAACTTATGTCGTCTACCCCTTTGAATACAGCGGCTGCCCTTCGCTCGTGGGAAAACTACAGAAAATCTGTATACGGCTGGATTAGAAAAGGGGAGGTATACTTTGAATTTCACACACTGTCATCCGAGGATTGGAAGTGTTATTCGATTCTGGTCAAAAGAAAAATGTCCTTTTTCATCACGTCAATGCCATCAAGCTTGTCGATCAGGACACATTCGTGAAAATATTGTTGTATAGTTAATTTGAAATCTAATTCTGTAATCCTATCATTCTTTATGAAGATGAAGAATTCACATAGAAATATATACAGATAAATTAGCATATTTCTCAGGGGAGGAGAACATTTTGTTTTATTAGAATTTATTTACAAGCTCTATCCTTTTGATAAAAGTTTATATGACACTTTAGCTTCATAAAATTATTATTAAATCCCAAGAAAACTGCCGTGGAATTTAGCTTAATGTAACAGGAGGGGTTTGAAACAATTTCAAAAGTCACATAATGTATACTCATGCATGAAAGGATTTCAAAAATTAAAAACCAAACATTTGTATATTCTTTTTTTACGATTTAAGTTCTTGATTTTTTCTGCAATCAGAACTCACTATTGTTTTTACTGGGCTAAAACCAAATTGACAAATAGTTGCGAATCAATTAGGAAAACCGGTAAATCTTAAGAAAATCGTTTCATTGGGAAAGATAGAGAGACAGAATATGACTGAAAGAGAGAAGAGAATGAAGAATAGAATGAATGATACAAGAACGTTATAACATTTCACAATTTTCAGTGTTGGGTCTGTGCGATTTCTGTTGGTCTAATCTCTTTCATAAGGTCGTGTGTCGGCGTTATCTTGGTAACGACCACTATATACAGATTCACCACCCCGTAGTCCACACAGAACAGTCTTGTTCAGATTCCTAACAATCTGTTATCTTCGACTATCCCCAGAAGGAATTGTATTAAGAAGCAGGCAGATACAAATTATCAGCAATGACTTACGAACAACGCCTTGTAATATTTGATTCTGAGAGCCCAGTATCTTTTTGCGTTCTAGATCCATCTGTGTACGAACCGATATAATCTTCCTTGACTGAAGGTATTTTCCCTTTTTCACACACATTTTAGAACTTAGCGGTTGTCTGGAAGTTGTGTTCATTCAATAGGGCGCCATGGGTATGTGAATTCTCTAATTAAGATGTCTTTCCATTTAAGTTTTAATCGCTTAGGATATTTTTGCTTTTCGTTAATCAGTTTTCTTTGTTGTCCTCGTTATAATTTGTTGGATAACGATTTGTCCTAATTTTTTCTTTCCATCAACTGTGAGACTTATCATCGCTCCAGTGGTACAAATACATGCGAGTCTCTATATGTTTGTGAGTTCTCTTTGCTTTGTACTTTGTTTGACTTAATTGGACCAAAATCGGTTTGCCATCATGGTATAATGACCATTACCCAGAGGATAATATTTGGACCACCTACATCTAGGGAAAATAAATCTTCTACGATGAGACTCACCCGGCTTATATGGATGATAGAACAATGAATACGTCTGGGAAACCGAAAAAAAACGCGTCTAACAGACCGAAACAAGGATGATAACTACGGTTTCATCACCCGGCAAAATCCTCGAGGAAATCCCTGATATGAATATTTCTAGTTTGAACTTTTTCTGCAACTTATGGAGTAAAAAACGTTTATTTCTTCATGAGAAGGCGAATGATCTTGTTTTTAAATAAAACGTTTAAATGAATGTTTAATATATACGTCACAATTTGGTGAGTCGAAACATTGCAAAGCCGGGTTTAAATAATAGCGACACGACAGACCGCAAGTGTAATTTGGTGGTACGAATAAAAAACCGCTTCAAATTGAGCTCACATCTAGAACAAGGATAACTCTAATTACTACAACGTTCGGCTTTGTTTAAAAGAAATCATGATTATGATTTTAACCTTGATGAAAATGACGATCCAGCGCTGTTTAAAGCTAAGAACAGTTAGTAAACCTTGGTCGAACCCTGAGCTCAATGGTTAGAACGCCCTCGGTGAGATTGAAGAAAATAATATTAAGATCTAAAACAATCTGGCTTTGTAACAACCGGTGTTAAAGCCTTAGCAATCGGATTTTTCAACAATAATTTAAATTCAATAGTAGTCCAACGATGTTATAATGTCATCTATTTCATTAACACCTGTGTAACTGTCACTGGAGATTCTCGGGTCCTTCGTCTCTTTACTCAGAAAAGAGATATCGATGGAATTTGTAGGAATGAGGTACTTGATTTGAGGGATTATGGTGGTTGAGAAGGTTGTATCAAACTTGTGGTAACGGGAGTAGATTTAATCTGAGACAAAAGAAATATGTAGGTCTGTATATGCAGTTTCTTTTGGTACGTAAAATGGAGCTTCGAAGATTTTTCATTGAGCAATGGATTGGCAAGGTTGGATAAGGCACATATTGGCATGTCTGGCTGAATCATTCACTACCAGTCCATAAGTCCATATGAACGTAAGTCCATATGTTATAATGCAGAATTTTATTCTTGAGAGGTAAGACATCAAGAAGACGTGAAAGAAAGCGGTGCGTTGTGCCAGAACATCTTGACGTTTGTAGATTCAAAATTAACCATTTGTCGTAATAAAGTTCTAGGAATGGCACCTGGTGCGCACTTTGGAATGGGATATTACGTAAGTAAGCCTTTTGCGGAGAATAAAGGTTATGTAGATGGTGTGGGATGTGTGTTGAAGGATTGGACAAATTCATAGCGTTTATAACGTATAAAGTTGGAGAGAGATCATCGCTCTATCGCTTGCAAAGGTCAGGGGGGGTGGTTCAAGGATTGGATGGGATGTCAGCTGATAACATGTGGTAAAGTTCGAAGCTAGAACGCTACCCCATCATGGTTCGGATAATAAGCGGTGAAGAAATTGCATTCAAAAATTCGGAAGAACCGGTAGTAGCTGGAGGTAAAGATGCCTTTTTGCCACGGATGTCAAATTCAGTCAGAACGTATAATATTCGATTTTTTTAGAACGTCATTCGGAGTCTCCCGGTGTTTTTGAACGAAAGAACATTAAAAAACAGTATTAAGAGTTCAAATTCAGTGCCGCCGTGTCCACCTCGCAATTCAATTCCTACAGAAGGAATTGCTTCAATGATTCGGAAAAACGGGTGAAGTATGAGATCGTTGCTGGAGGGTAGGAAGATCATGGGCCACTAATGCCAAACTCGATCAAAATATATAAAAATACGATATAATTGTTTTACTAGTGTTAGTTCAGTGATCGGACCATGTCAACACTTCAACCGTTGCGGCCACCGAAGCCCCATGAAAAAATGTTTAAACGCCATAACATAACATCCCGATAAGATCGATAAAATAAAAATAACATTATCGATTTAATTATTATATAAACTCTATTTTCATTAAATAATATATAAGTACATTTAGAACAGCACATTTAGGTTTTGTTAAGAAGAAAAATCATCCTGTTTTGATTTTGCTAGAGTATTTAACTGACTCTTGGTTCTTACATCGGCCTCTCTCAAAGTCTTTGATCATTTTCACTTGTAGTTTGAGTGATGGAGGCTTGTTATGGGTCTAATTAGGGACACGTCGTCTTTTGATATATCGCGTCTTTCAATAAATTAAAACGCCGACTTCGAACCAATTGATGCCACCCATTCACAGCGGAAAAGTTCTTGTAATCAAGACAAACAAAACGTTACACGAAATATTGTACAAAATGGAAAAATTGTAAAACTGTAAGGTACTTACTATAGAACAATCTCCTAAAGTTGGCTATGAGTCCAACCGAAAAATAAACAGACAGGAACCTCGCTCTTCCACCTAAAAACAAACCAAGTATTCATTTATCTATTGTAACTGTTAAAAGTAACACATTAGAAAAAATATTGTTAGTTTCAAAATGCATGATTGAAAATTTTTAATGCCGGACTACTATTATATATATATANTATATTACTTGACATGAAATTATGAATGTATTGGTTTTCACAGTTTCTTTCGTGAAACAATCCGCCAAGAATTAAAGAAATGCTTCGAGCAGTCGAATTTTAGATATTGCCTTAGTTTAAATAAACTAATCAATAGAACCTAAGGTATTCCACGTTATGGGAAAACTGGCTGCTCCTGTCTTTTATTACAATAGTAAATTTCTTTTTATTCTTAGCTGATTGTTTCACGAAAGAAACTGTGAATACCAGTATATATATATCTAAACAGTACAGATGGGTACTGGAGGTTGGGTTGATGATACAGGGCCCGTACCGACTTCTAATGGTTTGACGACAAATAGGTTGTGAAGATCTGTGTGTATATTGAGTATAAATACGAACTATAGAGCTGGGGTTCAGTCTGATCTTACATTTCACGAACACTTCTTCCAAATCGTAAAGATGGTACTGGAGGCAGAGGGTACAGGTTCCGTACCGACTGCTGGTGGTGGTTTTGGACAAATTGGATGTAAATGTCCGTTTATTTAGATACGGAATAGAGAGCACTGAAGGATTTTGGAATGGAGTGACTGGATTCTTCGAGGCATTTGTTAACAGTAAGAGTTTTGACCTGTTGTCAAGTAATATTTTTAAAATTTTATCTGGTCTGTTTAGTTCTATTACTTTGTGACTTGGGTGGTTCCAAGTAAGTCTTTCATCGATATAAAGTCGAAAATAGCGGATGAAAATGGTTGCTGGAGGGAAGTAGAAAGTTATTTGCTGGGATTTGTTTTCGCTGAATCAGTTCTTTAAGTTTTGTTGAACCACTCTTTCAAATAGGATAGATTTGAAAAAATTAAAAATTAAGTAAAATAAAATTTTAGATTAAAATGAAAAGTACAAGTACTTTGATTGAATCTATAATTTTCTACCATTGTATAAATTCATTTTTTTTATCAAAAAATTTTCTACCATTTTATAAATTCATTTTTTCCACATCCTACATGTATTTGTAAAATTTAAACAATGTTTATAAATCCCAGGCCCTGCAGATGATCTCAATAAAGATCGAAACGTTGGTATTTTTCAAAACCTACGTCACACCAGACTGCATCTCACGATCTCCGAATAATCATTGACTAACGTTCACAAAACTCCACACATTGTTTAAATTATACAAATACATATAATATATGAATATAAATTTATACAATGATGTACAAAATATAGAAATTTTAGGTTTAATCAAAGCATTTATACTCATTCAAAATGTGTATTTTCTGTGTAGATGTGTTATTGTTGTGTGCTGTGTTGAGAGTGTTAGTTAGATATTAATGTTTTTATTTATATATGTTTGATTTTAAGGAGTGGGGAAGAAAGTAGGGATAGAAATTCATTTTTCTATGAGGTGAAAGGAGCCGACGATGGGAAAAAATGGGTAATGGTTCGGCCTGAATAGCCTTTTACGGGGATAATTGGGGAAAGGAGAGACACATAGTTGAAGAATTAATCTATGTATAAAATGTCTGATGTATAGAATGTAATGACTGTTTCATAAGTTGTGTTACATGTTTTTTATTATAGGTATGTTACTGAGTTTACATCTGTCTCTTCTGTAATTGAGCTGTTTTTATCTCTGTTAATATAAACCATTTCTAAAAAGTTACATTTATGTTTGTTTTATTCTGTGTTTAAAATTTTTGGATTTTTGAAATCGAAGTAATGTTAGTGTTTAAAATGGTGGGTAGCCAGTGGTATAGGAGGTTTTTGCAATCACAGATAAGTTGCTTTACTCTCTTGTCCAGATATTGGGATGTAATTCCGATGTAAGTTTCCGGGCAATTTAAACAAGTGATTTTGTACATTACATCAGATTTATTTGTTACTGGTATGGGATCTTTAATTTGGAAAAAAAGGTGTGAATAGTTTTATAGTTTCGAAGGCTATTTTAAAATTATCAGAAAAGAGAAATGTGGTTAATTTGTATGACAGGCCGTGAATGGATGAAATGGGTATGTTCTTGGATATATTGTTGGTATTCGATACCAAACTGTGATTAATGTGCCAACTGTTTGTTTTATTACGAGTGTATATAAAAAGGGTATATTTTTCGATTTCATGTGTAAATTGTAGGCGTGGATGAAAGCTGTTAAATGTATCTAATGCAGTTTCAACTTGATCTATGGGAATTGCTGTAAATATATCAACTACGTATTTATTGAGGAAGAGTATGTGAAAGAAAGCTGTGGTATATCTGTATTTAATAGATGTGACAAAATTATGTCTGAAGTATCTAGGGATATGAGATAAAAGTGTGAAGGGATGTGAGTTGAAACACAAACTTTGAGTGAGTACAAATATTTGATTAAACCTAAAATTTCTATCATCGTATAAATTCATGTTCACATCTTACATGTATTTGTCTAATTTGAACAATGTTTATAAAACCCATGCCTTGAAAATGATCTCAATAAAGATCGAAACGTTGGCACGATAAAGAAAATGTTTTTGTAAACCTGTATCACACCATACCGCATCTCACGATCTCTGACTAATCAATAATTATCTGGTCACTAAATACCACACAGTACTTCGTATATTTTGACAGGGTATTAAAAGAACTTTAACGATCAGGTATTATCTTCTTGTAAACATTTGGGGGGGGGGGTTGATAGCCGAGAGTATTGGCAGGTCAGCAGTATAAATAGTGCACAGGGCGAGACTAAGAATAGGGGGCCTGGTTGGATCGGTTTTATCTCCAAGAACTCATTGCAACAACTTACTCTGAAGCACCATTCCGTTAAATCAAAACTTAGGATTAGGTATTACGGATTGGGAAGGGACTGGTTTTTCATGCCAGACTGTCAAACACTTGGGGCATGTTTAAAAACGCCCCCATGTAATACACTTTCTTTTCTAACGCGATATGACATCTACAATTCTAAAACATTGTTGTATTTTGGAGGGACAAGATCGAAAACCGAATTCGTGAGTGGAATGATTTTATATAAAACCAACAATAAGGTGGTACAGGCGTTTTAAGAGAAGTCTCTCGGGCATTTTGACATCACTGTGAGAAAGAAAAATTAGATACGATAAGCTTATCATCAAAGATAATCATGTCGAAACTGGTCGAAGAAGCAAACTTATTCAGCATAATTTACAAAATCTGAAGCTTCAGCGGAGAAGCTGGGAAATACCGATCCCATCAAAAAGAAGAAAAAAAGATGGCCCAAAAATTACCGGTAACGAACAAGAAATTGTCAAGATATCTAGCAACTGCATGCGTACAAGGCTTCGGGTATTCTATAGTATTAAAAATGTTAAAGATTTAAGACCCAATTGAGAAAAAAATTATTTTATTGTTATCACAAACCCATTGCAGTTAGTGGTCCGATTGATCAATTTACATTTTTCAATTAATTTAATATTTATGGAAGGTATTGGTTGAGATAAAAAAGTCAGTGTCACGAGCGCGATTCGAACCCACGACCTTGGCCTAATTACGCTGCTACTCTACCACTTGAGCTATCGTGACTTCGGTCCACTCGTACTCTAAAGGAGGGAAAATTCGAGAGGTGAGGTTGAGATGGGAAGTTAGTGTCCGAGTGGATCGGAGTCACTATAACTCAAGTGGTAGAGTAGCGGCGTATCAAGCCGAAGGTCGTGGGTTCGAATCCCGCTCGTGACACTGACTTTTTTATCTCAACCAATAGCTTCCATAAATATCAATTAGTTATCACAAACGATAATTTAGTTTACATGAACAGTATACTCCTCTTACGGTCGTATAACATTTGAATACTGTCTTTAAATACTTGCTCTAATTAATTATACGGATTGTGTAAATATGTGTTCTAGTAACTTTTGACTATGTATTTTCATTGTGTGTTTTATTTTAGTTTTCTGTTAAAATTACAAATAAAGGTACTTTATTGAGATGCGTGTTTGCATGAAATAACTTTTAAATACGACAAATATTTCAAGAAATTTGTGATATAACTACATGATTTTCATTAGAAAGGTGCCCAAGCATTCATGTCCAAGATCAGTTGACGAAATTATCAAATGAAAGAAAAACAGTGCAATGGAAAGCTTGTAAAAAGTGAAAAAGCTTAAGTGATAAAAAAAGAAATGCTATAAATCTAGTCCGACGCCCACATTTTCCTCGGATTTTTTTTTTTTGCGCTTAGTCACAACTGCAAAACAAGGGGGACATCTGTGAAGGCAAAGTACCATCCGCTAAGATTTATTTTCAAGCTCCTAGTCCCATTTCCTCTGTTATTCGGCCCTTAGCTTATACGAGTTTTATTCCTAGACGTTTGAAGGCATCAAAGTTTTCACACAGCATCTGCCGAAAACTGTGCTTTAAACAATTTTATTTTCTGTATTACCTACGATTATATGAATTGATAATCTGTGGGAAGGAAAAGTTTTATTAGATTAAATTTTAAGAGTTATTTACTTCCTCAATTAACCTTACATGGAATAATGAAGCAGTGTGCAATAGAATCAAAAAGAAGAATAAACGTTTACATCAATTTACGAATGACAAAATTGTCATTCAACTTTTTTGGTAACTGCGTTTCCAGGAGAGAAAAATGTACAGAATTTCTGTATGCTAGGGATTTGCAAAACGTTTTGTTTATTCAGCTGAGTTTGTCTCATTGTTTATTAGAGCAAATGCAACATATAATTTAAAAGAAGATAATAACACGTTACCGACAACTTGCGCTAAGGCCCCAAAAGTATAATTTTTCAACTGAAACTGCTCAAAATTAATAAACTAGTAGGTTTGAATAACCTTAATGGTTAGAAAAAATTACCCCTCCCTTATTATAGTTTCGCCCACTCCGAACGCCTATTGTTGAACAGGCATTCTGCGAGATTCAA